CCCAAACCCCTAAACCTTAAACCCAAAAACCCGAAGCCCGAAGTCCAAAGCCATGCTGCGCTTCGCCCTGCTCTCCCGGACCCTGAAGCTCTACACACCTATACTCGGGGTTTAGGGGTTTAGGGTTTATAGGGTTTAGGGGTCTTCGGTTTAGGCGTTTACGGCTTAGGGCTTGGGGTTTAGGGGTGTAGGGTTTAGGGTTTAGGGCTATCGCCCCAAAACCCTATAGCTCTGAAGCCCAGAAACTCTGAAAGTGAGCCCCTACAATCCTGAAAGCCCTAAACCCGTAACCCGAAACTGAGGGCAGCGGCCATTTCAGGTTCCGAATGGCTTCCTGGTAGGTGCAATCGAGGCCAATACTGGATCCCATGCTTTCGCGTCTACGGCTTTGATTCTTTTGGGGGTTTAGGGTTCCGGGATTTAGGGCTTTATGGATTTTCGTACGACCGCGCCACCGCCAGCATCGGATTTATTGTTTAGAGTCTTGGGTTTTCGATTTTGGGGTTCAAAGTCTGGGTTTCAGGCGCAACGGTGTACCCGGGAGAGTAGAGATGTGTTGATTTGTGAACTGAGGTATTCTGCTTCATATCGAGGTATGGGGCCTCTTTGCGTTATGGAATTTAGGGATGTGCAAGGCTTCAAGACTGAGCAGTACCTAAGTTTTCGTCAGAGAAGTAGTAAAGTAGTGCTGGTGGTGGTGGTGGTGGTGATAGCGGTTAGTTGCGGCAGCAGAAGAATGCAACTACCATGCATCTATTCAGCCTCCCATGAACCCTCGGACTCTGAGCACCCAAAAAGCAATGACGCAAACCGAGATCGTTTACACGAGATCTTACAACTCCGTATGAAATGGGCTTTTGTCTCTAGTGTCTTCAAAAGAAAGGAATCTCCAACATGCACTCACCCCGTCGCTACGGGGCCGCTACTCAAACATGCAAGCCCGCGTAGAAACCCCATCGTCTGCTGGAGCTGTAAGCCCCCGAAAAGCTAAACTGCTCCATAGACCCCAGACCCAATATAGGGACCTCAATAATTAGAACAGGGTTTGGGGGTATATTATACTGTAAATATAATCAGGAACCCCCAAAATAGTATAGGGAATTATCAGGGCCCCTATATTAGCTGTTTCTTTCAAAAAGCCTCAGTTCTAGACCCTGAGTCCAAAACAGTCAGCCTCCGACTCAATCGGTGAGCCGACGCCCTAAGTCCCAAGTCAGAAGGTTTCGAGTGCTACCCTAAGCCCTAAACCCTAAACCCTAAGCCCTCAACCCTCAGTTTAGGGTTTAGGTTTCGGGCTTGGGGCTTGAGGGCTCTTAAACCCTCGACCCCTACCATGCCAACCGCGAAAACCAAAAAACCTGAAAGGCTTAAACACCCTGAAACCCTTATAGAACCACAGCACGAAGCCAATAACCCTCAATGACCAAGTCTCTTAGGAATCCAAAACTCCTATGACGGCCCAGCGGCCGTTCTTTGGTAGGCACGCTTGTCTTCCGCGGAGGCCCCGATGCCGTTGCGTGGGCTCGGGGGCAACCTCAAGGTTGCAGGCTCTTGCTCGCTTAAGGTTTTGGGTATGGGGTCTGGGCTTTTGTCAGGGTTTAAGGTGTAGGTGTTTAAGGCTTGTTTTAGGGTTTCGGGTTTAGAATGTTGTTTTTCTTCTTTTTTTTGATACAGGGTTTTCTCAAGGCTTTGCACAACGGCATAGTGGTTTTTGAAAGGGTCGCGAAGGCTTTACCTCGTCTTGCAGGGTTTCTCAATTTTGTCAAGGGCTTCACAGGTCCTTTAAGGAATTGCCTGTTCCTACTTGTCCAGTATCATGCAGAACTAAACGTTAACCTTTGGGATTATATAGGGAATATAGTACCCTAAAAAGGTTAAAGGCTACCCCAAAACCCAAAACCCTAAACCCTTCCTACTCTACTACTGTTCATGATAGAAATCCTGCATTACCTTAAGGACCCTAAACTATGGGAATTATGGTATATTCCTTATAATGGGTCATGCAGGATTTAGATAGGGGTTTCCGAAAATAGGGGACGCTAATATAGTACCCTAAATAGTAGGATCCTTATTATAAGGACCCAAAATAAGGTACCCCTTATTTTCGGAAACTCCCAGATCATCAGCCGTACTAGCTGCTTAAGGGCCTATCGCCTTGCAGGTCGAGAACCTTGGGAACCGGGGCTCGATCATCTAGGGCCCCAAAAAAGCACATAAGCAAAAACTAGGATAGGGATATCCCATATAAATCCCCTTATAGTGAAGCCCAATAAGGTAGGGATATCACTATAACATGCTTATGCTTATGTCCTTTTTGGGTTCCTGACGATCGATGCTTCCTGTTCACGGACCAGAGGGCCTTACGACGGTTGATGATATAAATCCTGCATTCCCCCGGATAAGGAAGCTACCATAGTTGACTATAGTTCCCATAGTTTAGAGTTTAGGGTCCTTAAGGTTCAGGATTTATATCATCAGCAACAATTAGAACCGGGCTTTCAACTCAATCGTGGTATACATATGTGAAGGACTACAGGGGAAGACTATATTGAATGTTTTTTCCGACCACTATACCTATAGCAACAAGATATGTCTTTTTCCCAAGCAATAAGGGGCGATATGTTGGAAAGTTCCCCCAAAAAGGGAGCCTCAGCAAATGAGCGGCCAGGGGGACCCTGGTTACTACAATCCCGGGTTTTCGGTTTTAGGTGTTAGGGTTTTAGGGTTTTGGCGTTTAAGGGTTTAGGGTTTCGGGGCTAAGCAAGAAGCCTAGAAGCCCTTACGTCTCAAACGATTTTCTGTTTTTAGCCGTGGGGGATCAGCTGGAGTTTAAAGTCCCTAAACCCTAGGCCCCAAACGGGCTCTTTTTAAAGACTCATAAACGATGGTAGTCCCTTAGCCAGAACCCCAGCTTAAGAGCAAAAGCGGACGGAGTGAAGGACGAGAAGGAGACCCGCCTCGAACGTATCTCACGGACAGTCTCGGATCAAAGCTTGGAAGCGCCCCGACGTGTGGAGAAGCTTAAGGGCAAGAACCTGAAGAATCGGAGGCGTAGTAAGCAGGTTAAAACTAGAGTTTCGGGGCTTGGGGCTTAAGGGTTTATAGGATAATCCCGACTGGGTTACTTGAAGCTCCACTTAGGAAATACTTTCACTTCCTGAACAACCCTAAACTCTGAGTGAACCAAGCCCCTGCAATGACCTAAGAGTCCAGCTTGCTTTTGTCCGCATTCGATCTCGGTGTCGCTGTAGTGGCCTCGCAAATTCTTCTTATGCAAGGTGCCCCCTGGCCTGAACTAAACCTCAAAGCCTAAGATGCGTGCATGCTCATACCCACTAATGCATACCGAGCCGAAAGCCGTAAACCCTAACTGTCCTAACTCCTAAAACTTGGAACCGAAGCACCAGAACATCCTGCAATTCCCACACCCGGAGCTGACGCGCGTTGCGCTCCGCCTGCTCCTTGGAGGTTCATGGGTAGTTATAACTGGGGTTATAAGTCCCTTAATATGGGTTATAAATATAGCTACCCTACTAATAACCCAAACCCTAAAGCTCAACGCCTAAACTAGTCTCAAACCCTTCCTATACCCTAAACCCTAAACCCTAAACCCTATAGCCCCCTAACTTCCGGGCTTCAGTCTCTTGGTTCTCGTGTTAAAGCTTTAGGCCCTTAACCCCGGAGCCCTGAAACCTAATTCGCCTTCAACGCGCGTTTGTTAACACGAACACTAACACCCTCAAAGAACTCTACAAGAAACACTGCCCTAAAACGTGCCAAAGGGCCCTAAACCCTAAACCCTGAACGCCCTTATAGAACCCTGAAAGCACCCCAAAACCCTGAGAGAACCTTTACAGAAACCCCCGTATAGAACCCTGAACCCTAAGCCCTGAACCGTAAACCCTAAACCCTGCATCCTGCACCATAAACCCTAAACCCTCGCAGCCCCTCAAGACAACCCTAAAGCTTCTAAAAGAGATCCCCGTCCTCCCATGCGGCTTGGCCCAACGCCCTAGACCCTTAAGTCCTACGTAAAGCGGCCTGAATAATTAGAACAGGGTTTTGGGCTCCTTCTTAAGATTATTACAGTAAGCAACCTTACCATTCTTCTAATAAGGAGCCCTAACAATAATTTTGGTAATCATGCAGGCTTCTAGATTAAACCCTAAACCCTAAACCCTAAGAGGGATCCAAGGCCTGCATCAGCCTCTGGACCTCCTCCTGGTTCACCTGAACCTTCGAGGCCTCCACAGGTCTTTGCAGCGTCTTGGGAGGGCTTTACAGGGTTCTAATGGGCTTTCTAAGTGTCTTTATAGGGCTTTCAAACCCCTTCCTTGGGTAGTGTGCCGGAGTGCTTTTATGGATGTGCGAGGGTTTGGGGTGGTTTCGGAGGGGGGTATGTTGGCTGTCTTCGTCTTTAGTGGCCCCAAACACGAAACGTATGGCACCCACTGACGGTATCCGCCCCGTATTATCTTTCAATATGCGCAAGGCCCCAAACGCCCAAAACATTGAAACCAAACTTGGCTCCCAAGTTCGCCAAGCCGAGAGATACCAATACTATTGTGGGGGTTCCTTATTATACATTTAGCATAATATACCCCAAAACTCTATTCTAGTTATTTCTCGTGGAAAGTACGGGCTAAACTCTACATGCCCACCGCTAGAACCCTAAGGGCAACCCCGGATATCCCTAAATGCCCTACAGACCCCTAAGTCCCTAAAAGCTAAGAGCACCAAAAGCCACTACTAGCTCTGTAGACCCCTACGGCTTTTGCAAGGTGTAGGCCTTGTTCTTCACCATCTCCTGGATGACGCAGTAATTCTTCAGCGCTTTGTGGGCCATGGCCTGGCGTCGAAGGTGGTCGATCGAGAAGGGCTCGGGTTTAGGTGTCTCGAGTTTCAGTAGCAAGTGTCCGTGCCGTCTATGTTGGGATTGTGAGCGCTTCAATACCATGGGTCTTATGCTTATATGCGGGGCGACTGACTGATTCGCATACACTGAAGGTGTGCGGCTTAGGACTTTGATTTCAGCTGGTTTAGAGTTAGGTGTGTTTGTAGTGGATACGAAGCATCTCGAAAAGGAGAAACTTCAACAGTCGTCTCTTGTCTTGCCAGGTGCTTTGCTTATCCCAACATACATGTACATACATAGTAAATACACATGTCTGTACATGCATGGTAATGTATGTATACATATATACAAGTCCACAACAACAAGCAGATGCACATACAAAGTAGCACACATGCACATATATATATATATATACATATAATGTATAGATACACATAGAGTTGTGTGTATATGTATATATATATATATAAGCCAATAACATGCACACATGCACACATGCGTGCATGCATACATCCATACATGCCCGACCTACATGCATGCTTGCATGCATGCATACATGCTCACGCGCGTTTTTTTACCTTTGTACACTCATTGATACACAAATACACCCGGCCGTGACCCCTGTGCTAGGAAATATGCTCGTGGTGAAGAAATGCTGGAACAAACGGTCAAAGTCAACCACCCTATAAACACTGCAGCCCCAAAGCTTCAAGAGCCATACCGTCATGGCGACAAGCAGTGCGAAAACCTAGCAGCTACTAGGCGATGGATCTGAGACTCTCCAGATCCCACCCGAAGCTGCGCATCTTGAAGCGCGTGTAAACATCCCCAAGTCCCAAGAGCATGTCCGATGCCCACGCCCAAGCATGGGTAGTTCTCTAAACTAGGGCCCCTTTTAGGGTCCCTTTTTATACGGGTGCCGTACTATATTGGGGGGGTAAAAGGAGACCCTAATTTAGAGAACTACCCACATGCAAATTCAGGACCTATCTGCTCGCTTGCGCCAGCCTGCCCATGACTTCCCTGCATGCTCCTTGGTTTGAGGTCTAGGGTGCAATGCCAAAGCTGCAGCATCAGTGAGAAATGTTAATCTCACAGCTTCAGAAATGGGGGATCATAGAATCTTAGAGTGTGCTCGAAAGGTTCGGCCTTAGTATGAAGCAGCCGGGGAGCATCCTTACTACTGTAAATTATGCATCTTATGTGGAGGGTTTAGAGTTTACACCCTCAGAGCTCGGACAATCCAGGCGAGGTCTCAAGCGTAGTCGGAGTGCGAACAAATGTGCCCACCTTCACCGCAACAATCCAAACAGATAATAATAATAATAATAATAATACTAATAATAATACTAATAATAATAACCATGAACAAAAAGACACAACCCCAACAAACAGCCAACAGTTTGGCAAACGGGAAGTCGTTGACTGACATGGTGAGCTTGTGCCCAATCTGCTGAAGGCTTTAAACTCGGCCCTCCATGCAAAGTCTCATCGTGCAGGGACTACCCCAAGTAAATAAGAAATAACCGGCCCGCACGACAGGAATTCCACTAAGCCGGGCAGGTTCTCTCTCAGGGTGGCCACACGTTGGTGGCAGGTGTACTTGCTCCTTCTCAGGTTTGGCACGATTGAACCTGCAGTTGTGAGATCGAGAGCAGACAGCACGCTGACGTACTCCACTGCGGCAGACTCGCCGAGGTCCTTCTCCTCCGTCATCGGTTTCTTCGGCCGAAGGACTGCCGAAATCCACCTTCTCTGCCCGTTCCGACCAAGCCGTCCGTGGGTCTGAAACACATCATGTCGCTTTGCTTGAATGAGCGAACAGTGGTCCAGCCTTCGCAAGAGGCATTTATTTGGCCGCCTTCGAGGCGGAAGTCCCAAGCGAATTTTGTGCCGGGTCTTGTGATACGTTCCTTGATCACCTTCGTCCCCACGATCAGCACAGGCATCCCCTTGCGAGAAAAAACTCGGGAAAGGTCGTGTCGCTGACCTGTGTAAGTCCCGTGATTGCTCTCACGCGCTCCAGCACCCCTTATGCACAGCTATGCCCACCTACCTTTTAAACCGCCTGAATACTTTTCAGCTGCAGATGGCGCCATCAAGTCCTGAACCATGAATCTTCAACTCGCAGCCCTAAACCCTAAACCCTTCAACTCGCAACAAAAATCCTAAACCCCATTAAACCCTAAACTCTAAACCCTTCAACTCGCAACAAAAAGCCTAAACCCCATTAAACCCTAAACCCTAAACCCCGTTCACGCGGTAAAGCTCCTAAATCCGACGAGCTCACCCTCCGAAGCTCTAATGTAGGGGCGTTAAGAATTAGAATAGGGCTTTGGGTTTAGGGTTTAGGGTTCGGGTTTAGGGTTTAGGGTTTAGGGTTCAGGGTTTGGAATAATTTTAATAGGGTCTTGGGGTCCATTATACTATAATTCGTAGTAAGGAACCACCCAAAACAGTATATGTGATTATCCAGGTCAGCCTAAACTCCAAGACCCTAAACAACAGACTGGAATCCCAAGCCCTCAAAAAGCCCCGAATCACCTAAGCCCCATGACCCCTAAAGCCTAAAGCGTAAATCCCAGATCCTTTTATCAATCCCCTCATAGAACTTCTGGAACCACATTTTGGAAGCCTGAAACGAACCCTGAACCCTAAAAGCCAAAGCCCTAAGCCCTAAACCTCAAATCCTAAACCCCAAAGTCCTAAACTTAAATTTATGAAGTGGTAAAGTTTTAAATTTAAAAGCCTCTAAAGCCCTAAAACCCAACGCGCTAAAACGATGAAGTCCCTAAAGCCCTGAAACATCCTCACGCCCTAAACCTTAAAACCCTTAAAGCCCTAAATCCTAAACCCCAAATGCTAAACCCCAAAGTCCTAAACTCCTAAAGCACTACAGCCCTAAACCCCAAAACCCTTAAAGCCCTAAAATGATAAAGTCCATAAAACCCGAAAACATAATAACGTCCTGAAACCCAAACCCTTAAACCCTTGAAGCCCTAAGCCCGAAAAACGCTAAAGTCCTGAATGCCGAAAACATCCTATTGCCCTAAAGCCCTATAGCCCTAAGGTAACACACTAAAGCTCCTGAAGCCCTAAAACATCCTAAAGCCCTGAAGCCCTAAACCCTAAAACCCTAAACAAAAGCCCCCAAATCCTAAAACCTCCAAAGCCGCAAAAGCCTAAGTCCAAAAACGCTAAAGTCCCTAAAACCCTCAAAAATCCTACAGCCCTAAAGCCCATGAGGCCCTAACACACAAAAGCTCTAAACCCTAAGCCCTAAACCCTAAACCCTAAAGCCCTAAACCCTAAACCCTAAACCCTCAAGCCCTAAACCCTAAGTTTCTGCTTGAGGCGAGCTACTTGGAGCCGAAGTCCGACTGCATCTCCTCGGCGCTGTCAAGGTCCAACTTTTCGAATTTTTTTGTTAAGGCGTTTAAAGCTTGTTTGGGGGGTTTGGGATTTTTTTTTTGGGGGTTTTAGGGGTTTAGGAGTTTAGGGTCTAGAGGTGTAGGGTTTAGGGGCGTAGGGTTTATAGGGGAAGGGGGGTTTGCGGATTCTTGGGTTTCGGGTTAGTGGTTTAGGAGCTTCGGTCGTTTTTGCTCCATCTTGCTATGTTTTTCGGTTTAGGGTTCCAGCCCGACACTAGGCACCAGGGTGCTCAGGTCGCGTTTAGGGATCAGGTTTCGGGGATCCGTAGGCTTTTCCTCGCACAGGTATACTTTGGACCTGATGGATGATCTCTGCCATGTTCGCTGTTGTTGTTCTTGTTTTTGCTGTTGGTGGTGCTGGTGATGTTGTCGCATTTAAATGTGTTTGCGATGCTGGTGGTGCTGGGTGTGTGTGTGTGTGCTGGTGTTGTTGCTGTTGTGGTTGTTGTTGTTGTTGTTGCACGTAAATGTGCTTTGCTATGCTTAAGTTTACTGATCTCGGTACTATGCTCAGTGCTCCTACTATCAGTGTGGTGAGTACTAGCACTAGTACTATGTCTATTTCTGGTGAGGTGGGCGGGTGGGCCGCGCGGGTGTTGGGTAAGTAGGTAGTAGCAGTAGCAAGTAAGAAGTAGCAGCTGTGCAATGGTGTCGCATATGCTAGCATAGGAGCGGAAACAGGGGATCAACCCGACACGACATGTACGGTTCCGAAGAGCTCTTTGCGCTTCGGCTGTAGACAGCTTGTGGCATCTCAGTTGACATGTGCAAGCTCATCATCATAACCACGATCATCTGAAAGGAACAACAACAGCAACTGCTACTACGACTTCTGCGGCTACATTTGATGATGCTAAACGCCAGAAGTCTCACCCCAAACCCAAACAAGCAAGTACATCACTCAAACCTTTAACGCTCCATCCAGGAGCAAAAACAAATCATGCTTCAAATCTGGAATGCATCCGACGTCCTAAGTCTCAAAGAAGAGACATTGCTGGCTAGAGACCTCAACCGTCAGGACTTCAGAACCCACGACCCACCTAGATGAATGCAGCCCGAAACCTCAAGCCTTCAACCCTGAAGCTACACCGCCAATGCCCTAAAGCCACACCCCAAAACCCTACATCCCCCCACCCCAATGTCTAAACCCTAAGCCCTAAACCCCACTCTCATCTGCAGCGCCGGGGTGCTCTTAGCAAGTGATCCATTCTTTGGGGGTCGTCGCAAGTTTGTTTGTAGGACCGGCCCCCTCGGACCTCGGGCTGGCTCGGGAGGTTAGGCTCCGGGGCTCGAGGCTGAGGTTTAGGGTTTAAGGTTTTTAGGGTGTAGGGTTTAGGGTTATAGGGCTTTAGGGTTTTTAGGGTTTAGGGATTGGGGTTTAGGGATTAGGGATCAGGGTTTAGGGTGTAGGCCTTCATGATTTCAGGGCTGTAGGCTTCATGGGGTTTGCGGCTTAGCGGCTTAGGGTAGAGTTTGGAGTGGCGCAGGGAACTGGAACAATCTTCGGAAGTCGTGAGTTGCACAGATTGCAACAGTTGCATGTCGCATTCCCCTTCACGCAACACAACTGACCCAAGCATATTCAAACCCTAACTGCCTGCGAAACTCCCTAATGCTGCGCTAACAGCTTCTACCGAATCCTGCATTTCTGAATGCTGAAAACTCTCGACCCCAATCCTTTTCAAACCATCGTACGCGATGTATTGGTTTAGTGCATAGTCTTTAGGGCATAGTAAGCATTCTTTTGCGCTTTCCGATTAGGGTCAGATAACAAGAAAGCGTCCGAATTTCCCTAAACCCCAAACCCTAAACCGTCCGTGCGAGGAGCTTGTGAACTCATCAATTGCCATCGCTGCGCATTTTTCTGCACCACAGGATCTTTACGGCTTGCTTTCAGGGCTTAGGGCGTATCAGGTTCATCCGTGCGCTGGCCATTTTGATGGCTTTACGCTGTAGGGCCTAACAGGTGCTGCTTTAATGCTATGCTGCACGGGAATGAGATGGCAGCTGGAGGCATCTGACGTCCCGACACTACCTTAAACTTGAGCTCGCGACTATTGTCGGGCTCACTACACTCCTGAACACTGTTTTGTCGGTTCAGAATCCGTGGTAAATGGCCTCTATACTCTATATCCTGAGTCCGAAGCATCAATCCCTAATATAGGGACCTCAGTAGTTACCTATACTATTTTGGGGGTTCCTTACCCCCCCAAAACCCCATTCTAATTGTTAAGGCCCCTACACTAAGTGTTCGTATAGGACTGTTCCAAAACAGGGCTCCTTGGTCGCCACATGGGCGCCGGCAATACAGTAGGCTCTTTGCCCATACTTGGATTTCTGAGACCTCAGCCAAATGCTGGGGCCTCCATAATTAGAATAGGGCTTTGGGGTGGATTATACTGCATCTGTAATCAGGAGCCCCCAAACCAGTGAAGGTAATCAGAAAGGCACCTCTGGTATTCGGCGTCAAGTCTAGACCTTGTTGGTAGATTAGAGTCCTTTAAAGAGCCCTCAGAACGCTTGCTCAAATCCTTGTGTGCCCTTGAACACCACAAACAAACCGTAAATTCTTAAAACCCACCGGTCGGTTTGGTTTCAATGAGCCCCTTAACGTACAAAATCCCCAAACCCCGAAGCGGCCCTAAACCCTAAACCCTGAACCCTAAAGGCGCGCCGTCCATTCGCCGCTGCCCCACGTCGCTTTTTGGATATCATCTGGGTCGTCGAGCTCCATCGCGCTCCTTCGGTTATACGGCTCATGCGCTTGAGGGTTTAGGGTTAATGGGTTTTAGGCTTTGAGGGGATTTGGAGTTTTAAGGTCAGTTTTGGTGTATCGCATGGAATATACCTCTCATCTCACAAAATGTAAACTACTGTTGATGATATCAATCCGGCATTACCTTAAGGACCCTAAACTATGGGAATTGTGGTCTGATCCTTATTATGGGTAATGCAGGACTTATATCATCGACCGTCTGTAAACAGAAAGCCCCTCACTTACGGAATCCTCAAGGGACCCTTCCTCCGCGCGTAAACCAACCTCCCTTAAGGATGTTATAAACTCATTTGGGAGTTTCCGAAAATAGGGGACGCTAATATAGCACCCTAAACAATAGGATCCTCATTATAAGGACCCCAAAATAAGGTACCCCCCAGTTCTCGGAAACCACCATTTAATAAGGACCTAATAAGGCCCTATTTAAAGAAGTATAGCCCCCTACCCCCCCTCCCCTTAACCCCCCTAAAAGGTCCCTGTGACTCAATGCTTGAGCTTCGGCCGGAACACTGGAGCCGATAAGTTTAGGGTTTAGGGTTTAGGGTTTAAGAAGCACCCAGCACTCTCTCCTACCATAGGGGCCGTGCCCATCAAGGATGGTATAGTAAAGTACTGGTATAACCGTTTAACTCCTCTCTAAGATCATCTGCCCCTGCAACCCCGGAACCCTTGAACCTAGTTAACTGGGTTCTTGCTAAGTAGTTTAATCTAAGTCACAATGATAGAGAACCAGATTAAGTGT